TTAGGCAGAGCGCAGCAGCCAGGATTTGATCCCCGGTGTGCCATGCTGGCCCTACCCCCAGGGCACACTGAGATGGTGATTGAGACTGGGCATCGTGGTGCATGCCTGTAATCCCAGTGCTTAAGAGGCTGAAAACAGGAGAATCACTACAAGTCCAATCTGTGTAGTGAGACCCTCTAGACCCTGTACTAAAATACAAAAAAAAAAAAATCATTCCAGTTGACTTCTAGAATAAGATTAAGTACCTCCATGAGAATCACTGAAGCCACAAGCCCTTGTTGTTTTAAAAAATAAGGTTTTTGAAGATGGTAAAAGACTAATTTTACTAAGTCAGTCTTCATACTTAAGAGGATAAAGCAGGAGAATCACCATGAGTTCAAGGCTAGCTTGCACTATATAGTGAGACCCTGTCTCAAATAATAATTATAATAAGTTACCACACCTATAATCCCCACAATCAGAGAAGCTGACGCAGGATCAATTCCAAGTCTGAGCTAGCTCAGCCAGGGTAAATTAGCAGTTTAGCAAGATTCTCTAAAAGTAAAAAATAATAATAAAGGGCTAGGGATATCAGTACAAAGGTTCTGGACTGAAAAAAAAAAAAAAAACTAATCTTTATTGCCAGATGGGAGCCACAAGATACAAGACAGATTTCTATTTCTACGGTTTAACTGGAAACAAACTGTGCCTTCAAATAAGTAGCTTTTCTAACTTTAGGTTGGTTACACACTGAATGTGCTACTAATAACAAAATAAGTGCATTCTCTTTCAAATGAAACTTTATAACATCTAGTACTTTCTAACTTAACAGCAGTAGAATGACCTTTGTATTCTGTAGAAAGGAGACTGAACCTAAGTGTTGAGAAAAAAAAAAATACAGCAGTGTATTTTCTCTCTTGTTTTTGTGAATATATAATTTTAAATGTACACTACGCCAATTTAGTAAAACTAAACTTTACCTATATAAATCTTTTCTGCAAGATTTTTAAAGTCACCATTATTGTTAAGCATCTTTAGTGCTGATGAATGAAATATCTTGTCTAGGAATCGATGAGCCAGTCATTGAAAGTGCACATGTTGCAGGGTAGGGATGGGGGCTTTTTGTTGTGTCAGGACAGCTTGTATCTCCCTCTGTGTCTTCAACTCTGCAGATGAGCATATTCCATAAAATAAAATGTGAAATTGTTTTTCAGTCAAATTCTGTTTCCTTCATAATTGTTTTCAAGGGGTTAATGGAGAGGATCCTCATAGAGAATCTTCATGTGTTTGGTCCTTAAGTGAAATATAGGAACCTTTTGGTTGGAACATATAACTCAATGATAGAGTTGCATATTTAGGGCCCTGGGCACCACTCCTAGCACTACAAAATGAAAAAAAAAAAAAAAAAAAAAAGCTGATCGTGTCATCAAGTATCCTGGTATATTTTCTAACTTTTCACTCCTCCAAGACCAAGACCTGGCAAACGTGCAGTTTTTTTCATTCCCTAGTCATCTGTCATCTCAGTAAATGGTGATACGTATCATCTAACACAGTGGCTTGGCAAAATTTTATTTTTCTTTTGTACTGGAATTGAACCCAAGGCCTTTGCACTGAGCTACATTCCCCAGCCCTTTAAAAAAATTTTAAATTTCAAGTCAGGGTCACTAAGACCTGGGGTCACCCAGTCTGGGCCTCAACCTCATAGTCCTCCTGCCTCAGCCCTGCCAAGTTCTGAAACTACAAGGATGCCCTACCATATCTGACTTTTTTTTTTAATCTTTATATTTGGTACAGGGTCTTACTACATAGTTGGAGCTCATAGTGATCCTCCTGTCTCAGCCTCCCAGCACTGGGATTACAGGTGTGTGCCACCACACTGGGTTTCAGGCCAGCACAGTGCACCTGGGTTGTGGGGTTGGCACAGCATGTGATACCAGAGATTGAACCCAGGTCCTTGCACTTGCCAGGCAGGTGCTTAGACCACCAAGCTATTTCCCCAGCCCCTGACTTTCAACAAAAGTGAAAAAAATAAAATAAATAAATAAAGTGAAAAAAGTGGATAACCAGTCTGGGCTACATAGTGAGATCAAGGCCAGCCTGAACTACATAGCAAGGCCCTATATGGATGTCAACCAGGTTGGTTTCCTTTGAGTAGAGTAAGCTCTGTTCCAGGCCTCTCTCCTTAGCCTATAGAGGGCAGTCTCTGCCATCGCCATCTATCTTTACATCATCATCCCTACCTCTATCCAAATGTACACATTTTAAGGGCTGCCCATATAGCTCAGCAGATTAAAGCAGCTGCTTAAGCTGAGCACAGTGGCCAGGGTTCGATCCGTGGTGTGCCATGCCGGCCCTGCCCCCCAGGACATGCTAAGACAGCGATTGAGACTGGGCATGGTGGCACATGCCTGTAATCCCAGCACTCAGGAGGCTGACAACAGGAGAATCACTATGAGTCCGATCTACTAGTGAGACCCTGTAGACCCTGTCCTTAATGCAAGAAAAAAAAAAAAGCAAATGTATCCCTTTTAGAAGGATTCCAGGACCAGGGAGATGGCTCAGTAGAATAAGCACTTAGCTGGCAAGCGCAAGGGCCTGAGTTCAATCCCCAGTTCTGCCAAAAAAAAGAAAAAGAAGGATGTCAATTGTGACCTATTCGAGGCCTAATCACCAACCACCACCAGCCGGACAACTTGCTTAGCCCTCTCTAATGACTTCATTTTCACCTCTCCAAATAATGTCTCATTCTGAGGTCCTGGGGATTAGGACATTAATATAGTAATTTGGCAGGGAAACCATAGTTCAATCCATTAAAGATACAAGTAAGTTTGTAGTTGGAAGGAGCTGCCATCTGATTGTAAGGTTAAGATTGGTAGGAGGTACAGTAGAATATAGAAGTCAGCTGCCGAAGAATAGACTATGGCAGACCCTGCTGAGATGGGGAACTAAGAAGTGTGGAGGACCACCTGAGCAGCTCTTCTTGAAAGAAGAGCAACTGTCTCCATTTTGACTGAGCCTGACCCTGTTTCCTCGTATTGATCCGTACAGAGCTGGCTAGGACTTCTGTTTATTATTTCAATTGGCTTTAAGCAATTATATTGGTCTAGCTGAGGTGCTAGTGATAGTCTTTTTTTTTTTTTTTTTTTTTTGTGGAACTGAAGATTGAACTCAGACTCTTGCGCTTGCCAGGGAAGTGCTTATTCCACTGAGCCATCTCCCCGGCCCCTGGTGATAGTCTTTGAAGGTGGCAAGCGTGTTTCCCTGGTAACCTACACCTGATGCTCTTTAATGTGAGCCAGGTCAAGACAGGATGAAGAGCCAATGCTCTACACTACCAGCTGGGATCGAGCCTGGAGATAGAGGCTGTGACTTCCTGGGGCTTGAAAGACTACATCAAAGCTGAAGCACCAGAACCTCCCAAGACATCAGATACTATCTCAACAGCATGAAGCAGATTACTTTCTCTGCATATTCTCTCTGCATATGGCAGAGGTAAATGTAGGCCACCCACCTAGCTCAGCTCACAGTAGTCACCTACTTCCCACAACTCTT